CTAACCGGAGAGTCGTGGTACATCGGCGGCGGCTCTGACTGGGCCAATATACGAGAAGCATTGACGGGCGCAGACGCTTGCAAGAGGGCTGCCGGAAAGACCCCTGTTCTCTCTTGTGCGATGTGGAGAATATTCTCAATGGTCAACGCTCGCGTGTCATAGATATAGTCCTATACGGCCTGTTGAACCCGTATCAACAGTGTACAAAGCTTGTGCAGATCTCGACTGCTCTGGTGTAGGAAACGTGCGATATAATCTCAAGGCTTCGCCTGGTGACCTGCGCACTATCTAGCGCAAAGCAATAGCGATGAACGACGCGTGGATGTATGACACTTCGGCTACTAACATGGGATTCGACGCTGCGAGTGGGGTGTCTCATTCTAGGTCTATGTACAGGCAGCAAACTTCAGTACCCTAGAAACCACATCATGTACGACTACTGACCTTCAAGAAGATCCTAATATCACGAGCGAGAGGGATCCGCTGGCGCTGCTGCATCGGCCTGTTGGCTGCGAGAACCCTCTGCTTCGAGACAGTACGCTAGATCGACTGCACGAAACACGACGCTCGCCGTAGCTGGATTCCCCTCCCAGGTGTCATCATCATCCAAGTGCCATTCGACACCCGGCTCATCTGCACAGTGACTGGGCAGCAGGGAGTCAGCGAAGGGGAGATCAATCCAAGTATCAAGCTCACTTCCAGGCGAACTCCGCCGCACCGCGACGCCGATCCACCTCCTTCCCACTCATCCCTTCCGAGGCAGCAAGATGGTATAGAGTCAGCGCGAGGGCCTCAGCTGCCGTGCCCCAAATAGAATGCGTATACTTTCTGAATTCTGCGTAACCCGCCCAAGGCGGTGTCGCATCCGAATGCAACTGTGAGGCCTGTCGCAGGCGGTATAGGTCTTCGGGGCTTCTGAAGATCTTACGGCAGGTCTCGGAGAGGCGCACATCCATGACCAGTTGCTCAGCCTGAAGACTGCTTATGCCGCCGGCGGGCTGTCCCTGGTGGTATGCCATGGCGTACGTTGGACAGGTCGTGCGGAGACAGAGGATGGAGGTCGCCTTGCGAGCTTACCCGTGGGCGTAATCACCGACTCTTGGTAGTTCGCTACGGCGATGTTGTATCAGCTTCTCCCCCCTTCATGAAAGAACACGTTTCGCGGACGATCCCACATGGCAGGCATGATCAAAAGTTCTACCGCTCCTCGAAGGTATAAAGCGGAGAGCTGAGTGTAGTACATTGTCAACAACATTCCGTAGACGTCCTTCTTCACGGCTTCAAAACGATACCATAAGTTGCTCCTAGAGGCTAGCAGAGAGAAGACGTGCTGTACACCGGTAACACAGAGTTCGCTCGCGTATCAAACCATCTCGGTTGCCAGAACCGCAATTGCAAACGGCGCGGGGTGGTGAAAGCTGATATTGCTCCGAACGTCAAGGATCCTGCGCCCTCCCGGCTCGATCGCCCCTTACACCCTTCTACGACCTGTCCCATTATGACCCTTCCCATTGAACCCAGCCCAAACGATGTTACTATGGGGCGGCCTACCGACTTAGGGCCAGCCCAACGAGCCTATGTCGACGGAATCCAAAGCGAGTACAACTACGTTCGTCGGAATAAGCCTCAACGGGCGATGACCCGCTTCCTGAACCATGAGACTGTCAAGTACTTCGCCACATTCGGGTGGACAGAGCCGATGAAATGCGTCCCGATGACCGCCTCGGAGCCCACCGAGGTTACGATTGAAATGCGCGGCAGTGAGGCCGAAGCGGCGAGGGATGCTGTGAAGAAGGGTTCTGCGAGCGCAGAACAGGTACGCAGGGACAAGCTGGTGAAAGACGTCTGCAAGGTGAGCTCTATTCAAATTCTTTTCAACTTCAGTATACTTAGGGCGTTGTAGCACATAGTGGCTCGCTTTCAGGCGAACTTTAACAAGTCCAACTCAAAGGACAAAGCTACCCAGGACGCGTCCTCGAAGACCGAGATTCTCAATCTTATACGCGCGGTGTACTCGGCGAAACCCAGCCTCTGCCACACATATAAAGTATGGGCGGGCTTGAAGCCGCGCCCTGAGCTCGAGGCTGAAGTCGATCGACTACTCCCAGAAGTCAGGCGTGAGAGGGATGACCCCAGTTATGGCCGCATCGGTGTGTGGAACACCGTCGCTGCAGAAATGTACAAAAGCGCGGACGCGGAGGAGAGGCATGAAGCGGAGGTGGAAGCCAAGCGTATCTTCGACGCAAAGGTTGCCGCTTGGGAGGACAGTCTTGCGGCGCCTGGGTCCATGGATGATGCGGTTAGGTCAGCCCCTTGTTCACGGCTCATGCGACGTCTCCTCACAGCTGTCATCGTAGGTTCATGCAGGAGTGTCAAAGCTTCCTCAGCGATCTCATGGGCTTCTTCGCTGAAAGGTGCGGGGGGATGGCAGTGATGGTATGGTCAGGCGCAGGCAAGATAGCGATGTGAATCCATTCCGTACCAGCGTTGTCGACCTCGCTGACAGATACCATAGCGCTGAGGGCACATGTGAGGTCGCAGGGAGGCCTAGACTTCTTTACTCTGATATCAAGGAAGAGAAGGAGTTACTAGAAGGGATTGCCACTCGCATATACGACCAGGCCTGTTTAATATCTGGTAAGTCGCTTGACAATCCGAGCGAAACGATTACTGACGGATTGACACAGAAGCGAAGTGGGGTGTGTGCCTCTCTGATAGATCGCCGGACAAATCGCAAGATACGCGCGACGATTGTGACGCCGTGGTAGCCGTCGGCCACACCTCGGACGAGAAGGATGATGGATTACTTGTAGCCGGATGCGACGACAAGCGAGATCGCGACGAGGATTCGAACACGGACACTGTCCATACCCCCCCCTTCGAGGTCACTGAGTCGGCGTCCACCGATGAGTTTGCTCTAGACTTCGGCGATGACGGATGCAGCGCAGTCCCAGGGTCCGAGGAGGTTGTGCCTTTTCCTGTCGCCAAGGCATTGTCTCACGACATGGCGCCGGAAAAGTCGCACGTGGGAGAACGCCGCGGCTCTGCCTCTTCTCGCAACGGTTCTCCATCGACTTCGCGCAGTGAGAATGGAAAGGTGCGAGGAGTCGTGGAACAAGACCGCGATTATGGCTTGGGTATAAAGGACGTGGAGAACGTATGTGTATGCCGTGCTCGATGCTCAAACCTCAATAACATGATATCGCAGGTTCTCTTGGACTTCGCATCTCCGTTCCAGGGCTGGGACCCACGCGCGTGCTTCGGTGTGACCTTGAAGAATGAAGTGTGTCGTGTTTACGTGATCTTTGTTGCTCATATTCACTGACACTACGCGGAATCGCAGACTCTGCACGAGAAGGCGCGCGCCCTCATCAAAAAGGTCATCGACTCTGGGCACGGCGATCCCGGACTCTTCGGAAAGATGGCTCGTTTAGCGGCCTGGCCTAAGTTTCTATTGGATGTCGCCGCCCGGTGCGAGGGTTGGAACATGACGATGGGCACACGCACGATTCTGCACGAGTTGCTCGAGGCGTATCTTGAGTTCGAATCTACGAATCCCGTGCGTGATTTATGATTATCAAGCTATACAAGACGCTCATACTTCTCAAAGCCCATTGCTGCGAATCCTTGTGAGGGTTGGGTCTCATTTGCATCTCGGGGAGGGCCGTCTGCCGTGCGGCCACAGTATCTTCGAAAGTCGATCAAAGGGCCCCATTACGCGGCAACTTGGACAAAACTCGCTGCCCGCGACGGAAAGGAGAGCGTAGGCGAAGCAGATTGGGATATCGGGGTGGCAATCTGCGGGCAATGGCTTCGTCAACAGCCAGATGCGCGTGTTGCAAACAGAAGCATCTGCATGGCACCAGGATCGCACATGGACTGGAGCGGCCGTATGAATGGTGGCCGGAAGGGCGTGCGCCTATTAATGATCGCTCTGCTGAACTGGATAGATCTACAGAGCTCTGTGAAGGATGGATCGTCACGCGAGGACTGGGATCGTGTGGCAGCGGATGTCACGCTCGTACTCCGGATACGCGCCAAGCAGGTTTGCTCCAAGAACCCGTCTTCCGAAACAGAGTCGCCAACGGACGCCCCTGTGGCGCCGGCAGTCCTCCAAAGACCCGCAGAAAACGCGCCGGAAAAGTCGCTCCCGAAGAATAGCATCCGATGCGGGGAGTACGTCTTCAGGGCAAACATAACGTAGGCAATCATGAAGTTCACAGACATCATGGACGCTAACGAGCACGACTTAGGCATTATGGCATAACTTCTTCAGAATATAACGGCGGTATAATCAAGGAATCGGAGTTCGGCTGCACTGGGAGGATGGACGCCAAGGTACGCGGACTAGACGCATGCGATGAAGATATCCCGCTAACCTTGTTGTTCAGTTGGTCGCGGCGCGCGACCCAGTCTGGCTGGCGGCCCTTTGGCCTGGGGAGGTTCTTGTAGGCCCCGAACTTGGCGTAAATGGGGCTGAATAGACTCTATTTGCGGGTGCTAAGCATAGACAGCGGAGGTCTAGGAATGGAAAGGCCCGCGAGCATTAAGTGCTTACGTCATGACCCACACGAGCTTACGACACGATAGTCACGATATCAATGAATATTATAGAAGATGTTGCCAGGTGGTCGCTCAAGGTGCAATCGCTGAAAGTTTTGAACCCAGAGAATTCTGGCGTGGAGGAGCTTGCCCACATCGCCGTGTAGGGGCTCTCCATGCCCATCTACCATCCTCACCCGGAGTTGAAGATGACTTTTGCCGTGCGTTCAAGAGCTCGTAATCAATAGCTTGCGCACATCCTACCGTATATTCTTCCTGTCCCTTGCATCGCTCATCGCGTTGCCCGAGTCGCCGGCTCACGTGCCCCGCCACATGCGCGTGCTGTGGACCGGTAAATACCCAATCGTGGATTGCACTACCATATGTGACGACAACTGAGCGCCGATACCCTTCCCCTACGTCTTGAGGAGCGTACGGAAAGGCCGTTCATCTATCGTTTCCGGTCAATTTGCGTACACAAGCCTGGTTCTATCAGAGGACGCCCTATCATGAGCGCTTACAGTGTTCATCGAAGCGAGTTACACGTCAAATGCCTGCCAGCTGTGGTGACTTCTGATTCTTGTGTGAAGTATATAACTTCCCAGGCGACCTGCTGTGATCCTCATCCTTCTCTATCCCCCGCTCGCAATGGCACATGTGGGTATCTACCTTGCGACCGGACACTGGATGAGCGTTCAACTGGAGCTAGGACCACATGACGTACGAGCCGGGGTTGACTGAACTACGCTCGGCCATACTTCATGCTCACATTGTAGCGATTGAAGCTCGCCGCGATGGACGACATGTGAAGATAATCGAACTGATGGATCTCGAAGTCAAACTGGCGGAGGCCCAGTATGACTACGCGCGGCACGTACGAGAGACGACTCCACAATCGTCCTCCACTTCTCCACGCGTCTTACCATCGCCGACCGACAAGGCGATAGCGCAGATTGATGGCGGTGATGCCCAAGCCGCCCGACTACTGTCGTACTTCGGTTACATCCTACGGCGCTCAGGTAGTTGGGGCGTCAGGGCGATCCACGACGTTCGCATCCTTAATTCCTCGCTTCTTCACTGGGAAGCTTTGCATGACTTTCAAGTACGTCAATACATGCAAACTATTGAAACGCTCTGACGGACTCTTTCTGGCAGGAGGGCGACTTGCGAGCTCCAGTGCTATCTGCGGATCTTCGTAAACACGCATATTGTCGCCGGTACACCTTCCGTGCCTCTGACGGACATACACCAGAGACGAGCCAAGCCGATGCAATCGCTCGTTCCTTCGTCGTCCTCCGAGGATGCACATTCGCGGATGCAAGCCGTATGTTCGGTACACTGGGCCTCGCAGCCTTGGCCGCGGCCCTTGTTCAAGCGCGCAGCGTCGATGACGCATTTGCTGAGGCTTTTCCCAGCCTCACGCAGGAGCTCACTTTACTGTTGAACTCCCTAGCCGACTCGCACAGCCTAAAGGGCGAGAAATCTGCAGAGCACCGTACGGTGTTTGCGGTCCTCAAACTCCGCGCTCCTGAGGCTACGATGTGCGCAACGGCAGCGCTTGAGCATATGATACCTGGATATGTCGCGTCCCGGGTCGCCAGCATCATGATTTAGTCTACGTGACCTAGATTGTATCACACATGAATCTACTCATTCTCCACATTCTCCAGGAGCGGAACATCCCATGCAAAAACAAAATATTATGAGACTGAGCGGCGATGCATAGCGTGCTGAACACGCCGTAACATATACAGATGAAGCTAAACGTCTTTGGCTCAGTGATGACCAGTAAGCAGAAGAAGAAGACATACAGTTCTCTCCGATGCGGACCTACGATGCAGACGCCGGCGCGTGGGCAAGCAGTGCAGCGTGGCCTCGCCCTCGTGTATGTTATAAGCGCCCTTGCACTTTTGCACCACCCCAGCGCGCTTGGCTGAGAGATGTCTGTCTGAATAGGCTTTCGTAGCGAAGGAAAGCCTTGTATGATGTCTACAAGTAATCAGCGACGACAATTATAGTTGAGTATAACAAAGTTACTGGCCTTGATTGACACCACGTCCTCCGTATCGCGCACGATGTCCTGGTAGAAGCCATGCTACGTGACCTCACCCTGTATGGCGAAGCCGTGAAGGAGGCGTTGGGAATAGGGCGGGGGACTGGCGCTGGTTGACGCTACCAGCGCAGATGGATGCTCAGCAGGCGTGGTGGGCGTTACTGAGCGCGAGTAGCGAGCCCTCATGATGATGCCGAACTTCCGCTTGGAGGAAGTGCGACTCAACCCATAGTGGTGTCAGACACAATACTCACCTGCCGCGCGGAGCAGGGACCGTCTGCAATAGTGTCAGTGATGCCCACACCCAGTATATGCTGAGGGGATGCGTACATGTTGCATAGGGAGTTGCGTGCTGAGCCCTGCTTCTGGCGTACTCTCATCGGCAGAAGGCACTGTGGTGCCAATGTACCCTCGGAAATGCCGAAGCGCGCCAGTGGCGGCCAACAGTCTGCGTGTGTCGCCCGTCTCGGCCACGAGAATCCCGAGCAGAGCACCCCATACACCACGAAAGCCATTATCTCCTCCCCGCGTGAAGAAAAAGGAGCACCCGCGAGAGTCAGCTAGTCAGCAGATGGTGATGGTGGTGGCAACGGTAGACGCCAGATGGGCTCCAATCACACGGCGGCCACGAGGTAGCGGGCCTCATGCCTCATGCCATCACGAAAAAGACGCGTATGTTTCCCTATTTCCCCCTCCGCACAAGAATAGCAAACCACCGTATCCGATACACTCTCACTGACTAAAATCTAGCACTGATAGCGGTTGAACGGTGCTGACAAGAAATAATCACGGGCAAATCACGTGGGTGGGGCATCCTAAGAGTAAGTGCACCAGCTCTATTGTACCAGATGCAAGTGAAAGATATACATAGTGCTGAGATGTAGCATGGCTACGACATTTTGAGGGTGAATGCTGACTTGAGTTAAACATGGGCGGGCTGCACGTGCGCTGCGTGGTCTTGCGGTTATAAACCGATCTGCCACTACACACCCAATTTGCAGACTACCACGACATGGACCCTGAGGGCCGTATCCACTTCAATCCCACCTGTCTGGAGGGCGGTGATTCTGACTCGCGGGACTGCGTCGTTATACGGGGTTTCAATCCCGGCATTAAAACGAAGTGAGTCGGTCATTTCCGTCGTCTAGCGCTCAGCGGTCAACCACTAGCATAACAGGTTTGAGGCTATCGTAGATACCTACCAGCTCAGCGGTGCCCTTGCTCTTCGTTTCAACTCCGAAGCTGCGGCTCTGCGCTACTGGAGGACGATGCTATCCATTGGTAACGAGATATCTTGGTTGGGCTCTAGCTCGGTAGAGGAGGTAAGCCATCCGTTGAGTGCGTATATGCTATTATTGACCTTGATTCAGCGGCTTGCCTTCCGCGAGGTACTGTGTCGACGTCTGGAAGTGTGCGGTACTGTTATACCTCAGAGATTCGAGGCCGCCAGGATTGGTGTAGATGCCCCTTCGCGCGGGCCGCCTGTCCGCCGCACACCAGACGCGCCTGTCAACATTTCCGAGTCCCCTCAGTCTCCTCCCCCTTCTCCTCGTCGACCTGTGCGGTCGTCTGGCACCCGTCCCATTACGTCGAGAGTCTTTGATGGACCTGCTATGAACGGTGCTACAACGGGGCCGATTTCATATGCGCCGCCTCCTGATGTAGGCCTGAACTACCGACCACGAGACCTCCCGCTTGACTATCAATGCCGTGGCAATCACTCCCAGTGCTCGTGGTACGTTGCATGGAAGAATCGTCGCCCTGGAATATACTGTAACTGGTCAGTTGATTGCCCGTACTGCTCTCGTCACATCACCTTACCCGTAAACCACCCAGGGACCACGTCGTCGAAGCACACGGCGATTGCATTCGCAAGCGCGTTCAAGAAGGTCATATGACTTATGCGTCTGCTATTGCTCAATGGGTCACGCTGCGGGACTCCGGCGAGATCAGGCAGTGGGCATAGCGTTGACTTCGCGGTTGCATAGTCTGTGTCAATGTCATTCGTCATTCAGCACCGCGTTTGCGCGCGTCAGACCAACTGCACGCGAGATGAACATTGTGCGGATGGCATGTTGCCCCCGTTTGTTACGTGGTCATTCTCTGCTTGAACCCCCAAATCGATGAAGCTGTACATCTGCGCCCGTCATTTCTGTTGGCACTGCATCGCGGACTTCCCGGCGTACATCGTGCGAGGATGCAGGCTCCCGCGTCCATTCTGTCAGCATCATGAACTTACCGTTTCTCATGACTGCCGCTGTACGTTTCGACAGCAGAACTATGTAATATATACACGAGGCATTTATAGCACTAGGGATATGTGAGGCCTAGGAACACCACTCTTAGATCTTTCTTCTGAACCGCTTCGAACTTCGAAGATGCCGCACACGAGCGCGTTCGATGGAGATTTCGCCCGCATACCTTCCTCTGAATAGGATGAGGTTAGATGCAATCGAAAGTTCACATAGATAGCTACATAGATGCCATGTACGCGGTCACGCGATACGTAATCACTATACACTCTATACCCGTTCTGCGCGAGCGTCCAACTGCGATGGAGGGTCACTCAAGCAAAGACAGCGAAGATGGGCAAAAAGACTCAAAGCAAGTGCAGTCCACGGCACGAAGGACACGTCATCGCACTAATACATTGCTCTGACTATCATACTCCACTCATGACGCACATGTACACGTACCCTTCTCCGCTACGGAACGCGATACACCTGAATTCATTGCGCTTTATTCACCTTTCTCATTTGAGCGTCCTGCATCGCAACACACTGAGTTAAGACAGCAGTAGACATGCAATGGCATTGAACTTCGTTACTATATGTGTACCTGCCGCCGTCGCCGCGCGCGCAGCCCCTACTCGTCATCGGAGAAGACGATCAGCGGCGGAACGTCGCTCTCGTACCCATTATCGTCGCCCGTTTCCTCTCCTACCCCCAAATCAGGTCTAGAGCAAGAATGTCTGTCCGGCCCAAGGCAAGTATGCCTACGAAAGACATGAGGGTCCTCATCTCCTGTTGATGCAAGCCATAAACGTACCCAAGTGACCTCTCGCCACCGTACGCTGCCATGCGCGCGACCTCCTGCTCATCCTTCCATCCCTGAAAGTCTACCGGCATATGCTTGAGTCTGAAGCTCGCGTCAATATCGTAGCTCAGATAAACCCCGCTGAACGCGCGAGAGACATAATCGCGCTCTTGAAGATCTATTATATAAAAAATCAGTACAGGTGCACTCGCAGACGGGGTGCTCACCTTTAAACGGGGTACGGCATCCTTCACACAGGATCTCCCGGGACGGCAAGTCTCCCTTATGATCGACCATCATAGCCGAGAAGCGCGAGCAAGAGCCGTTCTGCTTCGCGTCAGCGCCATGTCGATTGAACGAATAAGATGTTCTTCACCTGCGAGTCCTCCCTCCTCTTCACACCGTCGTCCCCTTCCTGATCCAGTGTACCCACGGAAGCACGTATAGCCCGTGCAAGAACATAATCCATGGATACAAACCTATCCGCGGACAGTCAGTGCCTTGCCTGGACGATCCCTCGACGCTCACCTTTCACCCGCAAGTAAGTTAGGACAAGACTCCGAGGTGACCTTTAGAGAGCGATTGCCTGCGGTCTCGGTGTCCATGGTGGTCGTTTGGAGGTGAGTTGGTAGACTCCGCGCGGCAGCGCGCGAGTCCGGAAGCAGGTTATATACTCTACCGCGCTCACCACCCCAGAGTTGTCTTTCCCGCTTGTGGCAGATCCCTCGGCCTTGGCACCGCCATTGATGCCTAAGTCACGCGGTTATACGACGCGAACTTATTTCCGAGCTGAGGCGCCGGCCCTGAATGTGTTTACGTTGTACGCGTACAACGTGCCTTTCATATCTAACCAGGATCCGAAGCATTAGACAGACGCGGAATTGCATTTGCTGAACACAAGCATGAGCAGATATTGAGAAGCGTATCGACTAGGACGCGGATAGTGAGCGAAAACAGCGGTGAGCATGCAACCAGCTCTTGATGTACTATGGAAGATGCATCAGTCACCGCCGTCGTGACGCACGAAAGCTCCGTGTACGAACCGAGGTGAGCACGGCGATCTGCGCCGATGGAGACATATTGAACCATACGCGAGCTAAGCGCAGGGCACGCTGCCCATCTTCAGGCCAACGGGCGACGTAACGGCGAACTACGAGGCGTAGAGCGAGCCGCTGATTGCTCGGACTTGTATGCAAGGACTGCTGGTAGGCTGGGAGCTCGACGTATAGAAAGGCCACGCGTTCACCGTGTCCAAAGAAGTGGGCGACACGGCTAGAGAGTGCGAAAGGCATGGGGAGTAAGCGGGGTAAAAGGGCCGCCAGAAGCATCAAACAGAGGATCCAACCTTTTATAGCATAGGAAATTGTGCAACCCGAGTCCTCACAAACACTTAGTCGATAGATACTCTGTGGCGGCCAAACGCATCAAAAATTGATTTAGATTTAGGATGCGGGTTCGCTTTACCATCTGAGATGGGCCCGCGTTCCCCGGGCCCCTGCGCGCTTCCTCTCTACTTTTCCCGCCCGTCCGTTTGACGTATTGAGTACTCCGCGTACTCCGCCATCGAATGGGGCCCATTATGTGCCCGAGTGGGAGGGAGGAGGAGAGGCGTCGGCGCGGCGGCCGCGGGCCGCGTGTTCGGCTGACACGGCCACGTGATTATGCCGCGTATGTCGCAAGCGCGTCGCGACCGCTTGTCCACTTCGTTCGCGCGCCAATATCTCGTACTAGATACTCACATAGTACGCTTTAGCTACATTCAGCACTACTTAGATCTTTGAGAAGTTCCTAGTGAGCTTCGCGGGTCGATCGCATGCCCTTGGGAAGCTTCAGAGTGAAATAAACGATCATTTGAGGTGAAGCCCATGTACTTGTAGTTATATATGACCCACACAGTTACAGACTTGACTGAGAGAGCGCAAGATCAGAGGCTCATAGTTAGGCGAGTATCACTTCTTTGCCTCCTGCCTGTTGTACTGCGCACCCTTCGTTCAACAAGTACCTGAACCCATATGATCTCGCCGGCGCGGAACTCGTTGAGACGTTTAACGATTCAACGCCGACCTCGACCTCGAGCTCACGTCGCATCATTCCACTAGCGTATACGCGAGTGGTGCCGTAGGATTGCGACGCAGTATGAGGGCGATTCACGCGTGGTGAAGTGCCTCGATGTTCTCGGTGCGAAGAAGGACGGTGGGTCCATTAGGAAGTTCCGGGGGTATGCATCGAAGTCCTTATTCCGGCCAATGACAATGATATCTGAGCGGCGGGTCTACAGTAATCTTGGATATCATGCGCATGTGCCGGACGCGACAGGTACTCACCGCAACGCCTATAAACTCGCCGCCGTCGAGGCAGGTTTGGAGCGGGAGAAGTGGATGATATGGCGAGACAACGTCATATTGTGGCCCAGGGCCGCAGTTGGCGGTCGTATCGGCGCGTCTTGGCGTCGGGTACGCCGGTCGTCCTCGCTCGATCGTCTTTGGTGAGTGCCTGATACGTGCTCGTCGCCGACAACAGCGAGCGCGATGGAGACAAGGGTGACTCGCAAAGAATCTGAGTACATGCATCTCTGCAAGCGCTCGAGGACTGAGCGTGCTTCAGCGCAGTTAAGAGAAGCGCCGAGGCAAATGCGCCTAGCCACGTGACCGCGTTTAACAGCCTGACGGCCGTATGACAAATTCTGTATACTGCCTGGTCGCCGATACGGTCGCCGCTAGTCGGTGTTCTGTCACGGATAGATGGGGCTGAAGCGGTGACCGTAATGGGGCGCGGGGAAGGATAGATGTTGTCGATGTTGTTGCTGATGACGTCCCCGTTCACAGGGTGGAGGATAGCGAAGAAGTACTTGGGGAGTGAGGGGGGCATTACGCGCTTTATCCGCCGTGTGGTCGAATGTTGGCGTCTCCGGAAAGTGAACAGGAGCACCATAGCACTGGAACGAGAAAGCGCCGGGTCACAGGCCGCGGATAAACTCGCGTGCGTTCGTGCGTACAGTATCGCCGCACGTTGAGGCCGCGTCGTTGGCCGTAACGTACTCCGCCGAGTTATGTTCCAGGATGGGTCGTTACACGAGGTTGTGTGACGTCAAGTCGAGTCCTCTTCTCGCACACTTCGCTGTAGACCGCCTCCACTTGTCCCGGTTCGAGACAACTCGCGCGTAGCAGCCTCGAGGTAATGCGACCGACGGAGGGACACTGAGCCGATCTTCTTAGCGGGCCGATGGTGTACGCGTACGTGTCGAAGGAGTAGATGCCGGCCGCACTGAAAACGTGCTACGCGAGCAACCAGCGCGTTTTACAATCCATGCACTCGTCAATGAGCTCGTACGCCTGCCA